TTATAATATTAGTAAGATAAGATGTATTAATTAAATATTAATTACTAGCTGTGTGCCCGTTCTACGCACGGGGATCCTCTAGTGGTCAGTTGAAACCTTCCTAAATAAAGAAAAACTATTGGTTTGCATATTTTCAGATATGCTAGCCAAACTATTATATACAAACAAATACAGTATCTGACAGTTTCAAGTAAAAAGAAATGCGTAATAGATCTATGAGGGGTACACTTCCATATCTGTTGGCACAAACAACTAAATTAGTAATATTGATTATTCGATTGTTTAATTCCATATATCGTTTGGTTAGTTAGGTTAGGTTAACCTTACCTAACTAACCAAACGATATACAGGGTGTTTTTTTAAAAACTTGCATCTTTAATTATATAAAAACCGCAATAGATAGAAATATGCAGTTTGCGGGAATCATCTATTGACGTAGGGGGACCAATTGTTTTGAATTCAACGTTACATTCACATTCCCCCCCTTTCCCCCCCTGCCACCAACTTATTTTTTTTAAATAGCAAGGTACCCCTTGTGACATATCAAATAAAAGAGCATACAAAAAGAAAATGTTTGATGAAAAAAAATTGAAAATCGGTTCATAAATTTGTGAGATATTCCCCCCCTCACCCCCCCGGAACTTAATTTTTTTTAATAGCAAAGTACCCCTTGTGACATATCAAATGAAAAAGCATGAAAAAAGAAAATTTTTGGTGAAAAAAAAATTAAAATCGGCTCATGAATTTGTGAGATAATCACCCCCCTTTTCCCCTACCCATAACTTGTTTTTTAATAGCAAGGTACCCACCCTTGTGACATATCAAATGAAAAATAAATTTCGCCAAAATTTTTCTTTTTTCATGCTCTTTCATTTGATATGTCACAAGGGGTACTTTGCTATTAAAAAAAAAAATTAAGTTCCGGGGGGGTGAGGGGGGAAATATCTCACAAATTTATGAACCGATTTTCAATTTTTTTTCATCAAAAATTTTCTTTTTTCATGCTCTTTTATTTGATATGTCACAAGGGGTACCTTGCTATTTAAAAAAATTAAGTTGGGGGCAGGGGGGCAAAGGGGGGGTATGTGAATGTAACGTTGAATTCAAATCAAAACAATTGATCCCCCTACGTCAATAGATGATTCCCGCAAACTGCATATTTCTATCTATTGCGGTTTTTACATAAATAAAGATGCAAGTTTATAAAAAAACACCCTGTATAGTTAAAATACTATACCTCAACCTCGCCATTAAACATTCAGGTTGGAAATTTCACTATCAAAGGTGCTCTTGGCCTGTCCGTAAGGAACACTGAGTTATATGCGCTACCAACTTATGAATAATTGTTTAAGCCTACGAACCCAAGAGATGGATAATTGGTCTGTTGGACGTATGGTCCAGCGAGCAGCACATAGCGTTGAGAAGACACATTAGAAATACGATTTGAGCATAATCCGTAAACCTCTGTTACAATCACCCACTGCAGTTGTCTCTAAACACTTTACACAACCACCATTGAAGTGCCGTCAACGAGTTGAAACCTTATATGTAAGCTATTGGTAACGCTTATGTAAAAAATGTAAGTTTCCCAGGCATATAGAACACTGAGTCAAAGTCTTTTCCCCGGTTATAAACCCAAAACTCGATAGAAATTCTATACACAAAGAAGCTCTATTTTCATTTACGGTTACCCTACACATTATTGCACTTGCGATTAATTAAATCCGTTATGTAAGGAAAAACGGTTTTAATCCAACTTGGTTTGGATTTGCTTTTGAAACTTGATCTGAAATGATTGCGGTATTTGTAAACAATATTCAATGTAAACATATCAGTGACAGCTAGAGAAAAATAATCTTGATCCGAACAGCTGTTCGCTATTTCATATGATGATTATGTGATAAACATTGTGAGAAAACTTGACAAAAATCGCACAAAATTGGGTTTTAAACGTCCGTAAGTTTTTTTTAGAAAGTAGTGAGGCCATATTTTAATAGCTAAAGACACTTTCGCCAATCCAGTGAATACATTAAAATGATTCGAGGATCTTGATAGGTACTCTCGTTTTCAGGAGAAGGCCGCGTAAAATGGCCTTTGGACCGTGACAGACGGAAGATAGACAACAACGGAATTGAGATAATAATTGATGATTGAGATAATAACGGAATTGAGATGAAACTTTTTTCGGATTCTTGAATGTTTAAAACGTAAAAATAATCTAAAAGTTGATGATTCTGAGCAATGTATACAGACAAAACTCTAATTTTATTTATATAGATTAGTACCTGTGGTGATTTTATTAGAAATTTATTGAAGTAAATAAACAGCAAAGTTAAAAACCATATGACCAGTGTTTTTATTTAAAAAGTACGTAGGCCTATTTGATTGGCTTTGTTTTCTGAACTAAAATATCTATTTCCTGATCTATTTTTTGGTTCCTGTTTTCGAAACATAATTTGGCAAAACAATTATTTATTCATTAAACAACTTGATCGAAAAATAATTTCTAAACTTTGGAGGACAATTAAAAAACTTTTGAATTCTAATAAACCTAGCTGCCGTACCTGTGTTTTACATCGGAGAGGATTTTGAAGAGAAAAAGTTTGATACACGTCACATATTTCAAATCCCACTCCAAACACGTCATGTTAATACGTTTACTTCCTTAAATTAAGAATGTCAGAATCTCCAATTAACAGACCCGTAGCAAAAGTTAAAAGTTTCACAAATCGAATCGTTTCTACCTTTTGGACCGCAAAATCAAAGAACTTTATTGACAGCATTTAAAGCTGACTTCGTTAAACATTCTGTTATCTACATTCTTCAAAAATGTAAACATTGTGAAACTTTGGAATCCCATGGGGCGTAACTCAAAGAAAACACGTTAAATGTAATCGGTATATTAGTTAACCAGGTACAGGGCTACCTCTTGAATTGATATAGATAATAAATCGAAAAATAAAGAAATATAAGTTGATTGATTATTGGCTCTTACAAAAGGGTAAACAATCAAGGAACATGATTTAATTAAGTAACCACACATCACTGAGTCTATATCTTCATTCTTTCTTGTAAAAATCGCTTTGATTGTGGCTATATAAAATAGGGAAGTAATATTTCACTGTACAACGAGCTCAAAAAGCTCGAGAACCAGCAATAAGATGGAAATAACCGGCAGAACCTTTAACCATCCACTGGCTCGCTAGTCGCTACCCCAGGTCGGTCGGTAGCCGGGTAGCCCATCAATGGAACCCGTTAGGCTCGCCCCTACCTCTCGCCACAAAAGAGACAAGAATTTTGCCTTGTTCCACACGCCTTTGATTGTTTGAGGCGGGAAAACTATTTGTGTGCTACGGCCCGCGCAACACAGGATATTGTTTTCGTATTAGTTGGCCTTTTTCCAAGATGACCGTGACCGTTAACTTATTTTATGGACTCCCTTGGAGAATAATTCAAAACTACAAAGAACTTTTCTAATCCCACAGTATACTAGCTATTTAAATTATAAACACTTTGGTGTTTGAAAAATATTTTTGTACGATAAATTTTGCAGCTTTTTGAAATCATCCAAGATGGCCGCTTGCCTCCAAGGACTCAACAATAGGCCTAATTGTGCGACTATAAAGCAATAACTTCCCACCTTACGCTTGCGAATTAGTACGGTACATATTTGTATCCACAGTTGCCAGGACGACTATTAAGACGACCAAAGATTACATTGACATTTAGGTATTTAATCTGTAGAATAGTAATTGTTAAGTAATCTGGAAGACAACTAATTAAAATTAAGTGCGAAAGATGGGTTATGAGAGTGCTCAATGCCTGAACCATAATCCATTTGTTTGAGGTGCGGATTTTCAAGCTTGTAGAACAAATAAATATCACAAAGTAGAAGGGCAGGGGTGAAAGTGACTGAAGTGACGGGATACCCGGGTGGATTTTCAGTGACTGGATTCCAGTGGTATGCGGTAAAATATATAGTGACTGGCTTAGCAGCACAAATTTTACGTGACTGGCTTTCCCATGCAAATGCGGTGGTGACTGCATTAGCATAGCATTTTTTACGTAATTATATTTTAGTATTTTTAAGAAAAAAAGAGATATATACGTTCAGATATGTCTAGGCTTAAGATATTTACCAACATATATTATATATATATCATAGTCTTGAAATATATTGGGGGGTGCAACTGACTGACTTCCAGTGTATATTTTATGTGACTGGCTTCCCGGGCGCGGCCGTGTATATATATATATATTTATATATATATATATATATTTATATATATATATATATTTATATATATATATATATATGTGTCCGTCAGCACGGTAACTCGAGCAAAAATGATCCGATTTCGATGAAATTTGGTACAAACGTGTAAACCTATGTTTATTCAAACGAGTTCGCGAGCCAGCATGATTGGACCATGGGAACGGGGTTTTATGGGGGGATTTATGGGGTAAAATTGGTTTTTCTCATTTTTGACCCTCAAAACATAAAATTTCCCAAATTTCTTCTAGACCATTTTGAAGGGCTTAAAAAAACAAATAATTCAGTATATTGAAGTGTTTTTGTATGGTTACAAATTGGTTACAAAATTGGTTACGGAGAAAATTATAAATTAAAAATTCCCATGTTATTCTTATGGAGAATAAGTAAACTTTTGTAGTTTGCTTGTTTATGCATATATTTGGATCAAACTTGGCCAATCGATTTATTTTATACTAAGCTGTTAATATTTTACTGAAAAACACACTTTATTACCCTGTAGGCAGCAAACCTAGGTACTTGTTAAACCTAATGTTATTTGAATAGATTTAATTGAAAATCAAATCAGGCAAATGGAAATTCGCTTAGTCTGCAGGTTTGCTGCGGCGGGGGTATTTATATATGTAGTGTAAAGATTATAAGTTTTACGCTATTTATAAATTATTGTATAGTTCTCACTGTTATTATCTTCTGTGGTAACCTTTTTCTAACCCATTTATTTTCACAGGTATTTTGGAGATGCTGGACACCATATTTAGGTTCGCGATCAGCTTAGGCCTCTATGGCCTACTGCTAGTCGCCGGTTTCTGGATCTGGTTCCAATGGAGTAACAGGGAACTATTAAGAATCGCATCTAAAATACCTGTTGCTTTACCACGAGTTCCAATCCTGGGTCACGCATTATTTACTATGCAGGGACCTGAAGGTAAATACAGTATATAGTTCAGTATGTAAAATTTCATAAATTACACGGTTGTATAAACTGTTTGTATATAACCAGTTTAGATATGATTTAAGTTCTAATTTTAGAACAGTGCAAAATAGCTTAGTTATTAATTAAGGTTACATTACTGATTTTATGATTTCTTAATTTCAGAAATGGCTCGGTCTATACTGGAAATGTCGACCAGAGCAATAGAGAAAGGTTTGAAGTATATTTGCTTCTGGGTAGGACCGCTTCCCTTGATAGTTCTTCAAGATATGGACGACATTTCGGTAAATAATCTTTCCCTACAAACTTAGTTGATAAGTAAATCTAATACATATTTGATTCTAAAATGTTTGTTTGAGGAACATATTTAGATATTTACTTAACGCTATTAAACGTGAGACCTTTTGTATGGTTAATTGTTCACGGGGTTCACGTTTGTACTAAAATACCTGTCCAAATATAATTCATAATATTTTATTTAGCAAGTTTTACATATATTTGTCTTTCTAGACCATCCTCAACGGCCAGAACACTTCAGACAAGGCAGATGAATATGACTACTTCATAACAGGACTGGACTCAGGGGTTGGACCGTTCAGGAAGAATATTCTGTCTTCGAGAGGTAAGAAAATGGCGAATCTAGATAAATCATTAAAGACAATATGGTCCCTCAGATCAAACAATCCACATACAATAGTGGTAAACTTCTTGTCCAATCAACCTCAATATAAGGGAATATAATCCCATGTAAACGTCGTTACCACTTTAAAAATCTAAATCGTCGTAGTTGATGTGAACCACGGAAAATTGTTCTTAAGTAAATTACTGATTTATATCGAATAAACGAACTTTTTTTCCAAGTCTTCTGAATTAACTTATTGTGAACTATAGCAACTGTTATAGCCTATCAACTTGGTTTAGACACTAGAGCATTCTGTGACTGGCTTACACAACTACGATCTCTTTAATAGAATTTGGTGTCTGGTCTTCTTCAATTTTGGATGTGATGTCTTCTTACTGAATAGTCAATAGTCAATGACCTTTCCTTTTTACCTGTATAAAACATAGCGGTAAAGATACATTTTTGAGGGTTATTATTCCCGTACGATTTTTTACCACTATTTACTCTATCCTCTCAAATATAGAAGAAATAAAACTTTAAAAATATTATGTCTTGTTTACCTAATATGGTATAGTTCCGTTATAAGCATGAATGCAATGGAAGTACCAAAATAAACATTGTTTTTGAATCTAAAGCCAAAAAATATTTTTTTTTCTGAAAGATTGCATACCAAACTGTGCCAAAATTGACCCATAAAACATCCTTATTTATATCTTAAGATGAAATTACATGTTATTTGGGTTAACGTAAGGTAGTTTATCATACAGTAGAGCCTTGATAACAAGACTCTCATGGGGATTGTAAAATAAGACTTGTTATCAAGGTTGACTTCTTATCGGGGTTTGTAATAACATGTGATTAGGGGTAAAATAATTTTAAGGGGATTTGAAAATGACACTTGTTATCAAGGGCGACTTGTAATTGAGGGTCTTCTTATCAAAGTTCCACTGTATTTTAATTCAAGTAACAACATTATTCTTGAGTATTTCATTGAATTTTCATTTACAGGAGCGGTGTGGAAAGTGACAAGGAAACATATGAACCCGATGTTCCACCCACGCAATGTTCAACACATGGTGCCAACGTTCAATACCAACAGCCGAGAGCTTGTTGAACGGATGTCCCATCACCTAGGCAACGGACCGTTCAACGTCCTAGAGTACACCATGGACCTCGGGCTCAAGAGCATCTGTAGTGAGTATATTTTTGATTATCTTAAGCAATATAAACTTTTTTGTGAGATTAAGATATTCCACTCACATGGTTTGGATTATGTATACGATTAATGAAATGAGGACGAAATTCAAGAATAGGCTACCGAATGTTTAAAAGTACAATTATATTCGATATATTTTGTATTAACCACACGACCTTGAGTTTGTTCTCCAAATATATCCCAAACCTGTTAGGAAATATATATATATAACTATATGTTATCCAATTATAAAAATTATGTTTATATTGTGGTTATTTCATGCATGGAATGCAATAAATAATATACTACAATGTTATTTTCAGCTGTATTACAAATAGTAAAATATATAATGTTGCTGTACTGAATAAACAATAATAGATTTTTTGCCAAGATATTTAGTAATTTTTGTGATGGTAAGAAAACATATGGGCAACACATCAAGTCATAGTAACAATATAAAAGACATTTTCCCTTGAAAAAGCTCCAATTGCACATATTGAAATCGTAGAAAACAGTTTTTAGTTTAAATATGTTATTCGTAAAAACATGTTTTCTGTTATAGATTTGATTTTTGGACCTAAAGTTGAGATTGATGTGAACGCGAAAGGCTTCAAGGGACTTATGTATCTTGTGGAAGCGTAAGTTATTTATTTACTTATTTACTACATAAGGTATTTATTAATTTAATAAATTGTAACCAAATTGTAACCAAATTCAGAGCATATCATCGGTTTTTATTAATTATTGAGAATAACAACAATGAAAAGTCCTAATTTAATGCTTAAATATTTATTTTATTAAGAATTTAATCAAGTGCTCTTTAATGCGAATCTTTAATTGGAAAGTTGTAAGGAAAAATATAACTAAATTAATTACATAAAATAAATTTAAATTTTCCAACACTAAACCGTTGTAAGCTTTCTTAAATAATATAAAAAAATAATTATTTTGTATAACTAAAAGTTAGAAGTGTGATTATTTGCATCGTGATTAAAAATATCGTTCACTACTTGTAATGCAGTTTCCATTCCGGGCTTTAAAAAGTATACTTGGGACAGGAGCAAAATTTTTCAGACAAACAAGATGTTTTAATGGATTGGAAAATACAAATTTTTTAAGCTCAGTACGTGAACGGGTTTTTTTGTATACAGAGTTATGAAAAAGACTTTCCCATTTAACTTAACAGAATCACTTAATATATTTTTGTATTACGAAAAATATTGTTGAAGTAATTGTCTTTTGGCTGAGTTGTAACCTTTTGCCATGACAATTTTAAACAGAATTACTAGAATATGGAATAGTAATTTATTCTTTAAGCCCACGACGTTTGTGCAATTATTTACATTAAATAAAAAATTAATTAAGTTAATTATAAATAGTTGTTTTTGCACTCGACTCCACCTCACTCGTAAACCACAGTATTTTGCCCCAAACCGGGTCACTTTTGGGACGAGTGAGTAGTGAATTATACTAATAGTTTAGTTTAGGCTTAGATTTGGTACTGTGACGTTAACTAAAAATGTTGTCACTAGGGTGCCAGAAATATTTATTAAGCGTCTGCTCAAACCATGGCTCAAATCAGAGTTTCTGTTTCGACTGCTCAACCGAAGTCAGCTGAAGGGATACACTGATAAGTGGCTTGAATTCTCAAAAACACCTCTTAAGGTTTGTATAATATGTTAAATTAAAAAATAAAATAAGAACTTCAGTTATTTTAGGTCGGAGAGTGTAGTCACTTGACAATGGTAGGAGTTTCTTTGCCTCCCGAAACGTAGTGCTGTCAATTCAATTAGCGCAGGAGAGGTTTATAAATTAAATTAAAATATTACAACTGCATATAAAATGTTTGGCTGTGTAGTTCTTTTATCCATAAAATCCAGGCAAGCTAATTATTTAACTGGATTACCAAACTGGATAGTCTTATTACATTTTTTCCAAACTGTCACATCGGGCTGGCATTATTTTATTGTTCCAACTATTATATTATGGAAATAAACTAGCTCCAAATCACTCTCTATCCTGAATAACACTTTTCTATGGGAATTCTTTATATTAATAATGACTATTCCCATTAGCTTCTGCAAAGTCAAATCCTCTAGAATGGAGAAAACTTGCTAAAACTATTTTAGGAGACAAACTAAAACATTCGAAATGAAAAATTAAAAAAATCCATACTTAAAGGGAAATTGTATGGCAATTTAAATAATGAATTGTATAAATTAATTTGTTAATTTTAATAAATGAATTGATTTGTTTGTATTGTTAAATGACTTGCTAAACTAGCCAGCTCACAGAACTTGAATGATATCTCTTAAACTTTACTCCCTTAATCATAGTCCACAAGAAATCACAGAAATTAGTATTTTCTATATTTTTAGTAAAACTCGTGTATTGATTACATTTATTTATTCATTTTCAGGTTTGCAGCGAGGAACTAAAACAAAAGAGGGAAGGACGTAATATCACAAACATAAACGAACTTCATGAAAACTTAGCCAACGATGAAAACAAAGGTAATATCATAACCTTTTTTCATTTGACATAAATTAGCTTATTGTTTTAGTTTTAATATTTTTGAACAATTTGACCACTTAAGGTTTCATATTGTTGTTAATTGTATTTGTTCACTATTAAATATACTGTTTGAAATGTTCAGCTAAAATAATTATCTGAATCAACTTAACACGTTGATCGCATTCTTATCAGATTTGAAATTACGTTTCCGTCAAATAGTCGAAAAATATTTAGATGAAGCTGAAGTATACATTCAGTATATTTCAGTATACAGGCAACGGTTGGTCTATTAGTAAGTGCGAGGAACCCAGGCCTTCTGTCTTCGGGTATAAATATATGCAATCATCAATGACATTTGGGTATTTAAACCCCTGACCTGTAGGTTTGAGGACCGTCTAATATAGAAAATAAACGGTATCAGCAATCTGACACATACTTTCACCCATTGGGTTGTCAACAACTCTTATCATGGTCTATTGGTTAAACGGTGGGAGCATAGAATACATTTATTCTATGGTGGGAGTAACTTTGATATTTTATGAAGAAAATCATTATAGTTGCAATAACTTTTAAACCGCATATTTTACAGCTTATGAAATTTTTAGAGTTAAAATGATTATATACTAAATTCAAAATAGTTCCAGCTGTTGTTTTGAATATCTGACTTTTCCATTATGTTATAGGGTTTTATGGGAAAAGCATCATTAAAACAAAATTTAAAGAGTTTTGAGACACGATGTATAGACATCCCATACGGGACTCACATACTCAATTTCATCAAATTCTATGGGGTTCCAAAACTACGGGTTTTCAAGTTAAATCATTGTCTCAGGAGTAAGCGCCGAAGCTTTTAACATTTATTCTGACATGTTTCGTTGTTTGCAGAAAGAATCAACTTTTTTGACGTGTACTCAATTCTGCAACAGAATTACCCAGATTTCACCGAGGCAGACTTGAGATGTGAAATCGTTACTCTGTACTGCACAGTAAGTATTTCCACCTACAAAATAATAAATACTTCAATTTTATATAAGACATTAATTTAGAATCTTGTATTAACAGATGGCCTTCACCAATTTTGAAATAAATGGTCTGTATTACATGTACACATGTCTCTTGACTATGCTATTGGAAATATTTGGACTTCTGACGATTATATGGATAACCTCACCTTTTCCGCATTGTACTACCAATCAAATATGTCTAAAGTAAGTTATCTAAATTAAAGGAATACTGGGATTTTCCATAATGCAGCAATGACTAGCCTAATCTTTCACATACTGGATACTCGGTCAAGAAAACCCCTAATAGATTAGATTATTCATTGACAATTTGAACAAGTTATACTAACTGACAAATTAAACTAATACGTGTGAACACGTATAAACATTATTAAGCTTGCGGATGGCTAAAGAAGACATTGTCCTCACAGTAGGTTTTCAGCCCACTGTTACTTCGCGAAAACGCTAAGCTTGCGACATGCTCATACGAATACAGCCACATTTATATAACTACATATCATTGGTGTTACTTTCTTTTGTCTCAAAACCAAAGCAGTGTTACAATTTGAATAATAATGTTCAAAATGTCTCTCGCGGTACCTTTTATACTCCGACCTTCAACTAAAGTCACCACTTCAGTAATGTTTCCGTGACTGAAGGCCGAGGAAACTGCAGCGATGAACATAAATTAATATTCCTCGCTAATCTGTATGTTCCTCTGCGTCATCTTAATTGAAGAAAAATACACTACGATACAATTAATGCTGCTAAATAGTTAACGTCGTTAATGTTTGGCTCATTTTGTTGGCAGGGAACTTATTTACTTTTATTTATTTAGCACGATGTACTCGATTGGATTAGTGATACTTCTGTACATTTAAAATATCACTAAAGAATATCATTAACCCCAATGTTAAACAGTGTTGGATAGTTTTATATTGATATAAACCTCCTCCACACCACACAATGATTTGGAGGGGGGGGGCCTTTCAATTTTCCTACTAAAATAGGAATACCATTAAGCTACGTATATTTTCGTTGGAGTAGTTTTAAAGCACATAGAACCAAAATACTTCGTAAATCCGTATAATTGAGTTTATAAGAACAATTTAAGCAATACTAATTATTATTTAGAATTTTGTGTCTATTGAATTCTTTTCGCTCTTGTAATATAATTTATAAATAGTAAGTCAAGGTAAATTTTACAATATGAATAGAGCAGCATTTTAAAAATTAAAATTACTGGTAGCATGTTTATTATGTCGTCGGCATGGTATAAAATGTGATGCTACCATGTTCTGAAATTTTATCATTATTATAGTTTTGTTTGTGTTATTTTTCAGGGGACTGACACTATAGGATCTGGAACAGCTTCTTGTCTGTTGGCGCTCGCACAGTATCAGGATGTCCAGGTAAAATACATGTTTTAAAATAGAAATATAACTAAATACACTATAGTAGCTAATAGTTTATTTTAAAATATATTTATCTTCTGAATTTTTATTCATAATATTATTTTTTCCCTAAACTATCAATTAATGATGTGATCTAGCAACAGATTGACGATAGGAAAACGATCGGGATTTGGACCGTTACCTGGCAGAAACCTCAACAATGTCACTAAGGTTTAACACAAAATAAAAATAAAACTACAGCAACAAGTAGAGCTGGTGACAGAAAAATCTTTGTTATCCTTTGATATAATCTTTCCCGGTAGAAGTATACCAGTAATTCAGTGTTGGTACCAGGTTGAGTCCAGAAAATGAGCATGCTTGAAAATGATAAATTTAAAGCTGTCAAAATGTTGTGAACGAAGCTAATCATATCATATTTTCGATGTACAGTACTTCAATGCTTTCACTACTCTAATTGTATGATGAAATCAGGTCCGTTTTACTGGTTGGAACTGTTAGGATCATATTGAGTATCAATCAATACAACAATCAATTACAATACTAAGAGTTTTTATCAGACCCATTAAAAAGGCAAAAAGTGTCTAGGAATGAGCTGATTCCATTACTATTTGTAAGTACTGAATTTGAACCAATGCTTTTTCTTGTAGTTAAATAGTGTCAAATTGTGTTTAGTGTTTTCTTTAGCCACATAACAACTTTTAAAATGTTAAACCTGTAAAAAATACATTTACAAAGCTATACAAAGCATTTTCTAATTGGTTTTAAGATTTTAAGATTATAGGTAGTCACAGCAACTCTTTTACTAAATTGATCAAAATAAATATAAAACATATTCAATGGATAAAGTCCACAGATACAGCCTAATTCCAAACCATGTCCCATTGTTCGACATAAGTCTTATGGGACTAAAATTCAAGATGGATATCACTGATGAAAACTCTTAATTGATGGATTTTGTAATATTTTAAGCTAATTATCGAAACAGTTATCACTAAGCCCCGTTCCAGGAACGTCTCTACAAGGAGATCTGCTCAGTGGTTGGTCCTGACGACGATGACGTCACTCTAGAAGACCTCTCCAACATGCCCTACCTAGAGATGGTCATCAAGGAGACACTAAGGAGGTTCCTAACAGTACCTTTCCTCCTTAGGAAGCTCACTAAGGATGTTGATCTGAGTGAGTATAAGCTCTTTCACTACTATCTGTGACTTCTGGATACTGAAGTAGACATTGAATTTGTAACTATCAGCTGTATAGCCAATTTGATATGAAAAGAAAATAGCTGAATGAACAAATCTTATATACTAACTTTTGCAAAACTTATGACAGCTAGCCTGACCACACCACTGGACCGAAAAAAATTGAATTAGGCTCACAAATAAGCAAGAAAAATGGATTTGAAATCTTTAAAAAATAACATGGGTCTTATGGGTTGCCATGGTGATGACAAAATAACAACAAAATATAAACATAAAATCAAAACAAATGGAAGATATTCCAATCACATGTTTTATTTACAGTGTGTAGGGAAAATAGAGAAGTCTATACATTACATATTTTTGGTTGGGTTTTCAACCACGGGGCGACCTCTAGGAACATATTATACAGTATATAAATACTTATGGAGACTTTTCTAATGATTTCTAATGACTTTTCCAATGTGATTTTTCCTTCAAAATTATCATAGTAACTCCCACCGCTTACCAATGATAAACGTTGTTGATAAGCTTATGGGAGAAAGTATGTGTCAGATTGCTGATACCGTTTATTTTAATATTCCATTGTTAATATGACCATTGTTTATACTCGGGTTTGTAGTGTGTGCGTGTTGCATGTGTTGACTTGTTGAGCTAGTGTAGTGTTACAATGCATACTTTGGTCTGTTGACATGTTTGGCACGTGCTCTTGGTCGGTCCCGGGCTCGGTTGAATGGACTGACATTAGCACAGACTGGGTACATTGCCATATCGTGCTTGCTCAGGAAATTATAATATTTAATCAGATTAAATTACTATATTTTATAGTCTCCATTACATTCTATTTTAAATGCCATCTGTTTTGTAAGCCAAGTGATGATTGCAATTACTACTTTCCATTTATTCCATAAGTTGTAGTGTTTCCTTTTAGTACGAGTATAAATTTGCTATACATAAAATAAGTATTTTCTTAATGCTTTATTACGATTGCTTGGAACGTTTTTCATTTGGTATTCATTTAAATATAGGCCATTTAAAACCAGTTTAATTGGGAGGACATTCTCTTTTAGTTGTTAATAACTTGTTGTGCCATTTATCTCATCAATAGGCATATATTGAACAATATAGTACCTAAACAAAAAACAAGGGGACGTATACTCAAACGGATATAAGCATCCACCAGGTAAAAAATTTGTTAATGGCATTGCTTTTAGATAGTATAAAACGGTTATAAAAAGCCTAATGGAAAAAAATACAAATTAAAAATACGAATCAACCAGAAAAGTAATTATAACTTATTTGTATAAACCACGCAAAGTTTTCACTGTACAAGTAAGACATGACTGTCCGCTACTTGGGAAAGGTAAATGAAACCTCAACCTGAATCTGAAGGCCATCAATACCAGCAATGCCAACAACTCAATATGTAAATAAGATAGGAAAAGTTTGATTATAGCAAGTAATTTCATTTACATTTTAATATTTACATCACTAACCATTTACAACCTTCGCTAATTTTTTTTGTTGATTTTTCAGGCGAAATGACGCTTCCGGCTGGAACGGCTATTGTTTGCAACTTGTCCGCAATTCATATGAACCCCAAACTCTATCCAAACCCGACAGAGTTTGACCCAGAGAGATTTGCTCCAGAGTGCTCAGCTGGCAAAGAGAAGTTTGCCTATGTCCCCTTCAGTGGGGGTCCGAGAATTTGTATCGGTAAGTTTAGCGTTTGATTTTTTTTGTTTAGGTTTTTATGTAATTGTAGGTGTAGCAAAGCTACTTATATAAAGATAGGTGGTGGCTTAGTTGGGTAGTTTAATTGAGGTTGATTCTACTTACATAGATTTATTTATTTTACATATCCGCTTCATTAACTAATATATCCATTTATAAATCGTCTCGAAAATATTTTTCAGGATTGGGTCTTAAGGAAGGTCCAAAGTTTTAATATTCCGCAATATTACCATTGAAAATACGATTTATTTGCTTTACAGCATAGTTGTAAAAATTACAGCTGGGTTTCGTATTTTTTATGCTTCTTTATTGAGGCGAACTTAGGACTTAATGGTCCTTTCTTACAGTTAACCTCTAAAAGTTATTATCAAATCTAAAAGTTAAAGAAATTTATTTTGCTTACTTGAAAAGCGTTGTGTTTACTTTTTATTATGTAATACGTATGTAAGTTGTATGTATAAGTAATGTACGTACTTCATTCAGGACTAATCTGTTGCCGGCCAGTTCCACCACCTAAAATCTAATATTTTTATAAGGATCAATTATTTTATTTTTGGCTCTCTAAAAATGAAGTTGGTGGATTCAATGAAACAGGAACATGTGTATCCAAAAAGGAACATTTGATCACACACATTTGATCTCATTAGAAAATTCAAACTAGTCTTACTAACCAATTTACGATTTTTTAACAAACTGTTAATTTTTCAGCGAAAACGTACGCGATGAATCTGATGAAGATAGAAGTGATCCATGTCCTCAGGAAGTTCAAGCTTTCAACAACTCAAGATATTCAAAAAATGAAGAGGAAGTTGATAGTGACCCTAGTGTCCACAGAGGGCTACAACATTTCCCTGGAGAGAAGAAACCCAAACAAACAACTGACTGAGAACGATTGAATATCTTGAAACACGCAGCAAAAAGGCCAAATAAAAACTAAGTTTACTATCAAAGATATGATTATAGCCATGGACTACATAATACAAGGCCGCGGCGAGAAAAGTGGCAACGCCGCAGACACGGCTGCTGCGTTATTTCATAAGGAAGCGTCTGTTTAGTCAATGGTCTGTGCTATGTTTATATCACGTTTGTAACTAGGCCTATTACAGTATTACGATTGCAACAGTCCAGTGCGACGTTGCCACACCTACGTCACTGTCTTGTATTAGATGAGGCTTTGTTATACATTGTAAAACATTAATTATTGGTCATTACTTTTATTTATTTTTTGTCACAATAGGTTTAGTTTTCAAATGAAATCACAGTATTAAATATATTTTTATTTATGATTGATTCTCTTCGGCAATGTTTTACGCGTAAATACTCTTCATTTGTAAATACGTGTTGATAGTTTCGTTTCTAATAATAATTTAATACCTAATAAGAGTTAAAAAATAGACTAGTGATAATAAATATTGTATATTAGAATTTTACATTTATTGGTTTCATTTAGACCTAGATGAAGATAGCCTTTGGTTCAATAATTAATAGTTGAAAAAAAAGAGATTGAGATTTTTTCAACTACACACACTTAATTTTTACTGTCACTTAATCCAATAGTCCTATCGTAAACTAAATGCAGTCACTTAATTTTAAGCAAAAGTATCTGTTATTAAAACATAATCATTCAAAACAATTGGTTGTTATTGTTATGCTCTATTTATGTTTATTACTAGCTAAGAGCTTCAAGGGAGCACTTAATTTCTCAAACATGTTCCTCTACATATGAAAAATACTTGTAAATGATGAAAAGGATTGAAATGACACAAATAAAAAGGCATTTCTACATATAAAATAATAAATATAATTTACAATTTTGTATCTATAAAAATGTAGCACTTAAGGTGAAACACGCTAAATACTATCTTAACAATTAGGTGAATTCTGGATTCCACAACTTTATACACTTTGGTAATTGTACTTTGTTAACTTCGGGGTTCCAATTCAACTTTGTACCCTTCAGTACTAACAAGGGCTACAACCAGCTTTCGCTTGATTTTGTGAATGTTCATGACAGCTTTCACTTTGTACCTCCTCAATATGTGTACAAGCATAACCTTCATGATCATCATACCATACTTCTTGCCTGGAACAGAAAATAAATAAAACATTAATATAGATGGTCTTATTGTTTGGATAAACTATTTATAAATGAATTACATTTGCACAATACTGATATGACGACGATATATATATGTATGAACTATGTATTAGTCTAGATACGTTAGTCTCCCTAATAAAATTATTTTTGGTGTGTTCAGTAAGTTTATGGTAATTGGTTGGGTTTGTGTGATTGGTAATTTTGGTGAGGTAGCTTGGTCATCATGGTCTATGGTTAAGTCGGTTTGGTTGGGGCAACTTAGTTCATTAGTTTGGTGAGTGTTGTTGAGTTATTGTAGTTGGTCGGATTGGTGTGGTTGGTTAGATCGGTATGGGTTGTTGGTTGGGTCGGTGTGGTTGGCTGGGTCATAGTTGGGTAGTTTTAGTTAGTTGGATTGACATAAGTTCAGTTGATTTTGTAGGTGGGTGAGATTGGTGGTTGGGTTTGGGAATGGTGAAGAAGGATTGGGAAAACTGTTGGATTTTGCAGGTGCGGTTGTGGTTAAGATTCCTCAGGTTTAGATGATAAGGAAATCTCTATGGGGTGGGCAGCGTAGGCATCTATTCCTGGTCCAGAGAGAGATATGGGAAGCTCACCCTAAGGCACGGTGAAGCTTCTGGGCTTGGTGTGTGGATGAGCGTAGGATGGGATGGATTACAGATAATATAGTCTGTAAAGGGGTCCATGACCATTGACAAATGGAGTACAAGTCTAGTGTTCTATAAAGTAATGTAGGTCAGATAGACATAACCTTTATTCTATATATTACCTATGCAATCCCGAGGACCACCACTGAAGGGTATAAAGGTAAATTTCGACCTTGACACACTGTTTTCGGGTGAAAAGCGATCAGGATCAAAACGTTCAGGGTCTGGATAAATCTTCGGGTTCATGTGGATCCCGTAGATGGAAACCACAATAGTGTGATCTGCTGGTACAGTGCAATCACCTGCAAAGACAAATCATTAAGATAAATAATGGTTAGAAACATTTTTATAACTTTCACTACGCCAGTACAGTTCAACTTCTTTTTCGCATCTAATACGTGTTCTACCTAAAATATATAACGTTAATGTGATACCCAATTATTTATATTTTAGTAGCTGTGATTACTCCATCAGGCTCAGGGATACACAATATAGAAGAGCACTGAATATTACAACTAGAGGTAGCACTCAATGAGATAATTGCGAGACGTTGGCTACCATTTGTACTTGGGGATAGTTTATATTGCATTTGGTACATTTGAACTAGGGAATTTTGTACATAATGCCATGAGCCAATGGTCTGATTCCCCTAGTTGGTACCAACCTAACAAAATTATAGCGTCTCAATTTTCTAGCAGAGTTCCTGTGTCAGTGCTAATTCCAGTTGAATATCAACTCAGTGTATAAGAGCTTAGTGTAAAAAAGCTAACCACTTGATCAATTGTTCTTGCCTAAGCACTATCTAATCTTCTGATTTTTCTAATAAGTTCGATCACAGCCTCAAATGTGATTAAGTTTTACAGTACTAAGTTCTAATCTTCCTACTTGTTCAAATGTTCATATCAAAGTCATTAGGTGACCTCTATCCAATATTACGTTACACAACCACTACCTACTCATATATAAAAGACAAATCTTAAAACGTTGCTACAGAAAACTCCATACCAGGTAAAATGTTTATGGAAAAGATATACCGTGAATAATAACTGTTATTTTACGTAAAGTTAATTTGAGTTTTGAAAAAAATAATACGTTTTGACTATAAGAGCTCGAGTTTCAACTGTATCACTACTCACTGAGTTTGACTTCATCAGCTGTTCTTCTCAACAGGTAAGGCACAAGCGTGAATCTCCTCAGGGTCTCCTTCAGACATTGGTCAAGGTAGGTCATCTTGTGGATATGATCCGTAGTGACGTCATCGTCAGGACCAACCACTGAGTCGATCTCTGAGCAAAGCTTGACCTGCCAAGGAAGCGTATGAGATTTCAAATATATGAACGAGTGTATAACAGGAAAAATATTCAAATTGCTCTAAGCAGTTTTACTTTCATTGCAGCAAACCTGCATTTACCAAAAGTAATACTGCAAAAAAAGTAGATAATTAGAGACGCCAAGTGTTCGTAACTAGCAGGTTGGGCCTGAGGATAATTGGTGAGTCCAATTGAAATCGATTGATAAGTGTCTTTTATGAGTAATTAGTGGGATATTTGTGATAATTGCCTGAGTGTACATTTACGTGGTTATCGCGTGTTTTTAATTGAGTCTGTAATATCTACAGAGCGCTAAATAAGATATCAATATCATGTTAACTTCTGTGAAGGGAATGAAACCGAGTTGCTTTGCGCTTGATGTTTCTGTAAATTGTTTAATGACTTACAATAACTGAAATACTATTGAGTTAGATGGTTGGAATGTCCAATCGAAATCGATCACCACTTACACTCTTTCATATGTATTTACCGTCTTGTGAGTAAACAGTATAAGTGTAAATATATTATTACCAGTGTTATTAGACGTATATCTTTTTTAGTTTTTGGATAATTTAATAACTCGTACGATGCTGATCAAGAAGTCATTCAAAGAATAATCAAATTTTTAAACTGTACTCAGCAATGTTGTTTTTCTTTAAAATTGACATGTAAAAAATTACATCATAGCATAGATAAAACATACTCCCTTAGTCTATGATCATAGATAAAACATACTCCCTTAGTAGATTTCTCATCCTAATGGAACAGCTGAAGACAATTTTATTGTTAGTTCTGTACGGTTTATGTAGAGGTCGTGTTTTGTTTACAATTTGTTTCCCGTTAATACAGTCATTTAAAACCTCGTTTAACCAAATAATACGATCTAATCATAAACAATAAATTGTCCCATAGTTATTTAACCAAACAGTAAAGCACAAATCAAGAAGTTAACCCTAAAATAATAGAAACAAAATTTCGTCGACACTAGCGCCCAGTGTGGCGTACATGAACTAGACATGAAAAACGAGCTTCAAAATTTACAATGGGATGAGAAGTCTACTTGTGTTGGTTAGTTTATGATTACATGTATCAAACTATTACCTGATATTCCGGATACTGAGCTAGTGACATGAGGCAGAAGGAAACGATGGAAGCAACTGTATCACTACCCTGAAAACATAAGATTTGTTTAAATGATTAAAACACTATATTTATCAATGTGTATACTGCACATCAAACAATAATTTTACACACCTTAATAGATTCATCACCACCATACTTTTTCAACAATATGATGATTTCTACTTTAACTATTTGACTTGTAAAACGTATTTTTACGTAAATGTAAAGAGTTAAAAACCAAAATAATTATGTTGTAAATTTATTCACTTTGAAGAAGAAAAGATAATTAAAAGCAATGGGCATTAAAGTAGTATAATAAATAATGCTGTAATTTTTGTATCTTTTAGTATTTAAATTAAAAAAAAGAGAACACCACATATAAAACTTATTGTAATTTTATACAGTTGATAGAAAGTTTCATGCCTTACCGTTTCATATAACGTAAACATTTCTCCTCTCATGTCTGCTTCGGTGAACTGCGGGTTCTTCTCCTGAAACGGTCTGTAAACGTCTAGAATGGTCAAAGGTTCTCCATTCTTGTTTTCTTCCTCCTCACTGGCTATTTGTGGTGATTTCATCTTAAGCTCGTACTTTTCCTTGGTGTCCTGAAAACCAATTATTTTTTTTTAAGAAATCTTTATTGTTTTTTCCATACAACAAACAAATACAAAAATACATTTACACATGAAAAAAAGAAAAAAAAGAATAACCACCTTAGGTTAAAAACCTATGTTGGTGGATTTATACACTTTCTTATGTTCTAAAAATCGAAGAGGCGGTTTTGTCCGGTCACTTATATCACTTGGTTATAATATATACAGTGAGTGTAAGTTCTACACAGTGATCTTCTTCAGCACAGAGTAAAAATCAATACACTTACAAACAAAAATGATACAACAGAGTAAGTATTTATATTACTTATTATCTATATTAGTCACTTCTATACTACTGTATATATACTAAATTCCATAAAAGTACATTTTAGCATTTTCCAAACTTAATAAATAAGGCCACAGCTGCCTAGAAAAATCTGCCTCTGAGATAGTTTTGAGATTGGATGGTAGAGCATTAAACATTTTAGGTGCAAGGTAATAATAAAATTTCTTGAAAGCTGTTACATTTGGTTTTGGAACTATTGCATTATACCTATTTCTTAATTATTGCTGTACAAATGTGAATTTAAGTATGTTTTTCTTTTATGAAGTCAATTAAAAGACTTAAATCTTTTTTTAGCTATATTATTTTTCCTTTATAAGGCAATGGTGACTGTACGTTTGTAAATCATAATTAAAGTAGAAAATGACAAATAAATTAACCATAGAATTACAACTATGACTGAAGAAATTTAATTTTGTACAACCATCTGAGCTTGTATTGCATACATATCATGAACATTGCTTGGATGTACAAGGAAAAATAATTAAGAGAGCAAATAACTGTAGTTTTCCAAAAAAGTCTGCTATTTTCCACAAGAGATCATTGTAATTCATCATTCAAACGTTTTTGAAAATTCATTTTCTAGATTAGGACACCCTATCATTTCGAGTGTTTTGTTACTTTCGCACCCTATATATAGTGTATAGAGGAAGTATTGTTTCATTAAAATTTTTAAGTTTAAGTTTTGGGTCAAAATGTCCATTTTTTCCCCTGAGACCAATATAGTAATTTTTAAGGTGACGTTTGAGGATGACGTGTATGTGTGGGGTTTGATTTTCACAAAAACTGCTGATTAAAATTTAGTGTGATATGGGCATTTTTACTCTAAAACCCCTCAATGCGGTAAAGTCACAGTTCAAAAGTTATTGAAATATTGTAATTTTACCCATAAAATAACACAGTACTTCCACAGCATACCTGTTAAAACGGGGTTTGACGAGCTAATGGGGGGGGGGGGGGAGCTAATGTCTCGGTTTGCTGATACCATTTATTTACATTACCTTTAGTGGCTCCTCTGTAAACGCTTTCCATTTCTTGTTGATTTCTGCAAGCTCTTTCTTGTAGATGAACAAGAATATCGGATCCCATCTCAACCAGGGCTGTGTAACTCGTTTGATAAAGATCTCGGGGATTCTGGAAACATAATATTAACAAAGTGTGTATGAGGGATTCGTTGGAACAGTGGGGAGCTATTATTAAAGCTTTAGAGCTGCAAAATTATGTTTCATATACAGTGTAAATCGAGAATGGCATTTTCCTATAATAGCTTCGTTAACCAGATATCCACCATATTGTATTTTTACGTTTAAACGTATTCATCTCTGGTTTGTTTCAACCGACGAACCTTATGAAACTTAGTTTCTATGTTAAGGTGGAAGAGACCTATGTTAAAAAATAACTTGGTTAAATCCAAAACATTAAAATTTAGGCCATTTCAGTTGTTATAATTTATGTTACTAAAATTGGATAGTATTATAAAAATGTTTTATCTAGCATTATATATTTACTATCAAACTACACCAAATTCAATAAGATCGAAATAAATAGCTAAAATATAATAATTTTATCAGTATTGAAATGTGGTAGAGTAAGGCTACGCTCGTCAGGATTCACCTCATTTCGCCTTATTTCACAACTAAAAATCGTAGTATTTCAACTATTTTACTTTAACCCATAAAAGATTTGCCTGGAGGAAAGCTTTGCTTACGGGACACCCTATATACTTTGTAAAGATTGCAATGTTGTTTACCGTCGTATCATTATTATTTGTTGACACTTAGTGATATTGATAAGTGAATAAAAATACCTTTTTAATTATCTGTCATTTTCATATATTTTACCTCTCAATTTACAGTACAGTGACCAACTCTAAATTTAATTGCACTGCACGAGATTGCTAAAAAAGTAGTATTATGCAACATTGGCTAAGTAGGGTGACTTCAATTGATTTTAATAACTATAAGAATATTCTGAAAACATCGTCTGCAACTAAGGAGACTTACCTTTCAATAATATTTTTCAATCCTAGGAATTCCTTGGAATTAATCTTGACTTTATTGTCAATTCCGAATAGAAAATCTGAAACAGAAAATAACTGTGATTTTTTCCATCAAAGGAAAATCATCTTTTGTTGCATCAAAGACGATATGATAAACATTAAAGGGTTACAAATTAAGGATTCTGCATCAAACAGTGGAATTGGTATAAAGTTAAATTGCGTTCTGATATATAACAAAATATTATTCACGTAACAAAGAAAATAAAAATACTAAAAATACTACCTAACATTTTAATCTAACAGTCTTAACCATCACAAAATTAAATTTTCTGAAAAAACTTTTTTTTATATTAACATATTACAAAAGCTCTTGTAACTTATTTTATTCAGCACTCCATACTACAACCCCATAAATGAAACACTTACTAAGCCCCATGAACAAGAACAGCTGTGAACCATCATTTGTGGACCATCAAGAAACTAACTAGGCAAACCCCACCTTTCTTCTGATCTTTTAATTGTCCCACAAACACTTAAACAGTTAAGCCAGCAAACCTTAAATACTTATGTCTACTTCAACCACAACCCAAGGAAAACCTCCTAGCACTTACCACAGATAGATTTCAGGGAAGTATCCAAGACGAACTCCATAATGTTCAGTTCCGTTGGTCCTTTACCGACTTCGTGTTCAAGCTCTTTCATGAGGACTCTGGAGTTCTTGTTGAACACTGGCATCATCTGTTCAAGGTTGCGAGGGACGAACAACATGTTCATGTGTCTTCGGGACACCTTCCAAACGGGGCCTAGGAATTGAAAACTGAAATAGAGTCTTTTCCAAAAGAGAACCTGTTTAAATTTGTGTAGGTGATATAAATGGGAAATAGTTCATGTATAAGATAAAAGGAAATAAATAGATTTGCAAAAACATGGAAATGCCCAATTTTAATTACAGCCATCGTGTAAATTATTGTTATACAATTAAAGGTCACGGAGGAAATAAAAAAAAATGGTACTCTACCATAAAGATATTATTATAGAGGTAATGAAAACTTGTCTAGTTTGCTTGTTTTATGGATATATTTAGGTAAAATTTAGCAAATTTATTCATTATATGCTATTATTATTTTATCCAACAACACTTTTTCCCTTCCCAAAGCAGAAAATATAAGTACTTTGTAATGTTATTTAAATGGGAAATAAATATAAATTGTTTATGGAAATATTTTTTCAAAATTCCAATAAGATAAAAGGGAATGTGCTTAGTCTACAGGTTTACTGTGGCGTAAGTATTTTAGTATAACATGCATGAAAGTTTTCAAAAACTAACCTGGGGCAGTGACCAAACTGTACTTGAAAGGCCCAACTCCGGAGTCCAAACCAACTTTGAAGAACTCGTACTCTTCTCCTTTGTCTAGAGTGTTGGTGCTGTTCATTACAGTCTAGACAACAACAAAACAAACTAAAAATGTGTATATATTTTCAATTAAAGTTTTTGTTATACAATGAGTTTTTTTATTTAAACAAATTAGGTAATATAGTTTTATTACGACAAATTATAGTAGACTTTTCGTAGTTTTTTTTTACCTCAAACACACACAAACTGTTGAACATTATTTCAAAATGAAGACATAAAGTGAAACTACTTTGCAAAAGTAATTAACATATACTTATCTTTATTTAGCACCGCACTGACAATTTGCATGTACTGCTAACTAAAACCTGTTAACGTATATAGTTAAATTATTAAACAGGACATACCTGTACGTCTTCCATGTCATGGACCACCAAATACGGAAGAGGCCCACACCAAAAACATATTGTTTTGTAGCCTTTGGCGATTGCTCTTTGTGACATTTCCAAAATTAGGTGGGTTCCGTCTGTAAAATTTTTAGACATATTGAATAGTACAGAAAGGTGTTTTAAAATCGTAAGCTCAAAGTGGTAGTAACAAAGAAACAGTAAATATATTTCTGTTTTATATAGAATATTAATTTAACATAGTGTGATTTTCGCTAAAGGATATATTTTATACAAAGAGGCCAATCTTCACCTACGAAACCTATACTGGTGTCAAAACACTAAGCTGGTTGCAAAAACGATCAAAAGATTTAAAAACGTGTATGGACCAAAACAATAAATAAAGACAATATACCTAAAATTTAAAAAAATACTATAATGTGTTCTTGGTTGCAATTATGTATTTATTTTCCTTTTGAAATAAAAATAGTTTAAATATTTTTGATATTATCATTGATTCCTGTTGAGCCTTTTATACGGTTGTCCAAAATTTTTTAGTGACTAAAATCCTTAATTTGGGAACTTATTACCAATATTCAGCAACAAATTACAGTAAAATACAAAATGCTTACGTTGCAATCCCCAGAACATGAAATAAGCGTGTCCAATCAGAGGTGGGGCTGGGAAAGTGTAGGGTAGTTTTGCAGCAACCCTTAGAAGATCCCTAAAACGCCATTGGAACCAGAAAAACAAGCTAGCTGCCAGCACCATGCCATAGTACAGCACATTGCCAAGAGTGAGGACCTCCGCCGCCATGACTAACCTGGAGAATAAAATATAATATAAATTGAAAATAAATCAATATTTAATTTTTTCTACATTTAGGAAGTATAACGAAGGTATTGATTAAATAAATATATAGGGTATATATTTTTGACCAAGAGATCATAGTTAAGTCCTAAATTGATAAAGAAATCCTTTAACTCAGTGGTATCAAAAATGTTTTTAAAAACATTTAATTTAGTTCTACATGATAAAAATCCGAATTTTATCTTCTACGTAGCTGATAAATCTCTAACGAATTATTTACTTTAATGTACTTTTGGAAAAATAATTGTTCTGAATAATATTTGCGTACTTTATTTGGTTAGTTATAGAGACTTTAATGCGTGGTTGGACAGAAGTTTGGTGTTAAGAGCCTTTATTGATCATCATGTGTATAGAATAAAGGTTTAATGGCTTGTTGCACTACTTCAGCGATTATTCATTTATTATAAATAGCTAAGTCTATATGAGTGGCAGAGTGTTTAATAACATTTATTTACTCAAACATATTTTAATATGATCAGACATCACTCTCCACTAATGTGACAATACATAATTTCTTCACCTACTTCACCATGATGTTATACAAGTTTGATTTACTCATGCATTTGTAATGCTTACACAACCTATATAAATAATATAAGATGATACAGGCCCATCAAGAACGTTAAGATGTCAATTATATTTCCCTTTATAACAACGATTTTAAGCTACCAATGCCTTGTTTACTTAATTTTCTACCTATGCTACATGCCCATCAACAATGTATAGAAGATCATCAGATAGACAGATTATACCTTACCTAATACCGACTATGTTCTGACACAAATAAACCGTTTAGTAGATAGCTTATCTATGCTACAAGGCTATCAACGATGTATAGAAGATCATCAGATAGATAGATTATATCTTACCTAATACCGACTATGTTCTGACACAAATAAACCGTTTAGTAGATAGCTTATCTATGCTACAAGACTATCAACGATGTATAGAAGATCATCAGATAGATAGATTATATCTTACCCTAATACCAAATATGTTTTGACACAAATACACCGTTTAGTAGATAGCATATCTATGCTTTAAGCCTATCAACAATGTATAGAAGATCATCTGATAGATAGATGATATATTACCAAATGCCAACTATGTTCTGACACACACACCGTTTAGTAGATAGCATTTCTATCCCACAAGCCTATCAACAATGTAAAGAAGATCATCAGATAGATAGATTATATCATACCGAATGCCAACTATGTTCTGACACACACACACCGTTTAGTAGATAGCATTTCTATCCTACAAGCCTATCAACAATGTAAAGAAGATCATCAGATAGATAGATTATATCTTACCAAATGCCAACTATGTTGTGACACACACACCGTTTAGTAGATAGCATTTCTATCCTACAAGCCTATCAACAATGTAAAGAAGATCATCAGATAGATAGATTATATCTTACCAAATGCCAACTATGTTCTGACACACACACCGTTTAGTAGATAGCATTTCTATCCTACAAGCCTATCAACAATCTAAAGAAGATCATCAGATAGATAGATTATATCTTACCAAATGCCAACTATGTTCTGACACAAATTCACTGTTTACTTGATATCCTATCTTTGCCACAAGCTTATTAATAATGATAATGTATATAAGATTATCAGATATAGATGATATCTTACCAAATGCCGACTATGTTCTAACATACACACCGTTTACTATATAACTTATCTATGCTACAAGCCTATCAACAATGTATATACGATTATCAAATAGAGCGATGAGATCTCAAAGATATCAACAATGTCCTAAAACCAACAAATTACGTGATAGTATCTTCTACAAGCCATAGATTATCATATAGATAGATAATATCTCACCTAATACCGACTATGTTCTGACACAAATACACCGTTTACTATATAACTTATCTATGCTACAAGCCTATCAACAATGTATATACGATTATCAAATAGAGCGATGAGATCTCAAAGATATCAACAATGTCCTAAAACCAACAAATTACGTGATAGTATCTTCTACAAGCCATAGATTATCATATAGATAGATAATATCTCACCTAATACCGACTATGTTCTGACACAAATACACCGTTTACTATATAACTTATCTATTCTACAAGCCTAACAACAAAGTATATACGATTATCAAATAGAGCGATGAGATCTCAAAGATATCAACAATGTCCTAAAACCAACAAATTACGTGATAGTATCTTCTACAAGCCATAGATTATCATATAGATAGATAATATCTCACCTAATACCGACTATGTTCTGACACAAATACACCGTTTACTAGATAGCTTATCTATGCTACAAGACTATCAACGATGTACTTAAGATTATCATGTAGATAGATAATATCCTACCTAACTATGTTCTGACACAGATACACCGTTTACTAGATAACTTATCTATGCTACAGGCATACCCACAATGTATTTAAGATTATCAAATAGCTAGATGAGATCTCACTGATATCAACAATGTACTAAACCGACAGACCAATTACTTGATAGTCTCTACTACAAGCCCTATAGATTATCCAATAGATGAGATCTTACCTGATACCGCCGATGTTCTGACACAGGTTTACCGATAGCTAAATCATCTAACACCCGATATAGCCTGAGGGCTACATGACCTTGACTCACTTTCACACTAAATTGTATTAAACTGTTTGTTTCCCTTGTTGACCAACCCACTAGCGAATACTTGAAGATCATCAACTAGGAAACGAATACTTGAGGAAGTCATTACGCAAAATACTTTGTTTGTCCAGCGTTCTTTACACGCTTTAAGCATTGAGTACGTGACAAACGTGGAGATTATGACATTGTTTGGGAGAATGTGTATTTAATTATGTGCAATTGGTTGTTTTTAATGTCTACGATAGTGTTTTTGAGGGAAGTACAACAAATGCCTTTAGGGAAAAGTAGGATAAGCCCCTCCAATTTTTTTGTTTTGGCGGGGAATAAACCCGTCTCTCTAGGAACTAAGTACTTGATGATAACCGTTATTAATATCCACACTACACTCAATTTCTAGTAATTTATAGCTATATGTTGACATTCAATATTATATAGTATTAATAAAATGGAGATTAGTAATACCTATTATTATAATTATAATTGC